TTAATTAGGATGAGATGAAGACGTAGCGCAGCTGCACATCCAACGCGTATTTTCAAAATATTACTGAATAAAATTCATAAAATATTAAGAAATACCAAAACTGCTCGGGAAATTGGCGCAAATATCCCCTGTTAGTGTTGTTAATGGGATTTTGAACTTGACACTAACCTCAGCAGTAACAAAAGAGCTGCTCAAAGCGGTATGTGGATAGCACTGGCCGACGCCGCTTTCGAATCGCCTCACAAGTTCTTTGGTAACCGAATGATGCGGATTGGCCAGAATATCGGTGTAAGCCAAGTTTTCTTCGCCGCTCCGTACTACCCATAGCACAATATTCCATGCTTCTACAGGACGACATGCATCGGTGGGTGAGGATCGTTTTTCGCCGTGAGCGCAACCGCACACTGCACCCGCCACGCAAACCTAAAAAAGATCACTTATTTTTTCTTTTAATGCGTTTTTTTTGGAACTATGCAATGCAGAAAAAGCATATTGACGAGAGTTTGTCTGTGTGTGTCTGCTTTTTCGTCTGTATCGATTTTTCATCTCTAGACCTACAAAAGCTACAGGGTTGAAACTTTGGGAACTTAATCTACATTTATCTACTGGCCCTATCCTCAAGATGGGCGCTCTTACCCGCATGGTACCACGTACGGGCATGTGAAAGCTTTTCGGGTAAGTCACTAACTCCGGAACCAGAAAAGCTAGAAAACTGAAACATTTAGGGGATGTCCCCCGTCACATAGATCTTAAAAATTCCAAATCAGCCTCCCGGCATGCGTGGTTCCCATGTACGTGCCCGTGAAAGTTTTTTTTTGGGTAAGTCACTAACTCGGGAACCAGGAAAGCTAAAAAGCTGAATTTTAACTGGATGCTCCCTGGCAGTCTTGACGGTCAGTCTCAATTCTTTTGGCTAGAAGCATCCGCTGGAAAAACTGGTGCCGTTAGCGACAGAAATTTGCGATGAACTATGCAAAAAACGCATCTTTGCACCGGCAGTCGGTCCGCTAGTCATCTATTTTGTTATTTGTTTGCATTTAGTTCACTTCGAAACACTAGTGAGACATCGCCTCAAGTTTGATTTTCTCTTTCACACCCTAAAGATGAAAAGGAACACCGTATGCGCAATGATTTTTCTGAAGTTCCAGTCTCTGCACCATTTTATCTTTCGTTCTTTTCAACATTTTTGTCCCTTTTAATTACTGTTATATTAATATTATCTTTTTTTTACTATTAGGCTTCTTTAATTTTGTTTTTCTACCTTTTCGTTATAAAACTCATTAATAAAAGCTAAGAGTATAAGAACAGAACAGCAATAATGGACAATATTGCAGCAGCAGCAATTATAATAATAAAAATATAGGACAGTAGTATAGTAAAATTAGTAACAAAACAGAATAGCGCAAATAATAATCATCATAACAGTAACAGTGATAACAACGATAATAATGATATTCGAAACAACGATAAAAATAATGATAATGATAAAAACGGCCACAACTGCTCAATTTAAAATTAATATACTGTAAAATATGAAAATGCGAAGGCAGAATATGTAGAATTAGGTTTTCCATCACATTTCACCGCATTCAGTTGCCTATATTTTGAAACGGAACCTCGCCAAGTTCACTGTTGCAAACAGTGAGGCCGCAAGCTTCGCCACGGGGTTGCTTCGGTCTGCATGGATTGAGCTCATCGTAATCGGATGCGACACGCAGCGATCCGCCACCAATCGCGCCATTCGTACGCTGGATTGATTTCGCCAGCTGATCCCACAAATCGCAGACATCGATCGGTGCCCCGCTGGGCATCGTCGCCACGGAGAAATTAAACAGCAAACCATCCGGCCAGGAGCTGAAAAGACATCGCACTGGCTTATTAACGACACATCAGCAAAGACTCGGCGAGGCTGCTTACGCCAAACCAACAAAATGCAAAAATTTAGCACTGCGATGATTGCGAAGAATACCAGAACTGATCAGGCTAGCAGCCTGAATAACACATTTTAGTGCAAGTTACCGCCTTTCTTATTTCGGGCGCAGCTATGTCAGGCAATTCGGGTCTGAGTTGAATACCTTCGTTTAGTACCCACTAATTGTTCAATGTATGTGCGCTATCTCTTGAGAAGCTGTCAAATGGTCTTTTTCAATCTCACAAGGTTCACTCACTGGGGAGGGAGCGAGGATGTTGGTTTAGATCACAGGGAATCGTATAGAGGCGAGAGTTAGGATATTGAATGGAAAACAGCTGAGGTTGAAAAATTGCGAAAACAAAGTATTAGTAGTCAAAAGTGTAATTTTGCTGTCTGTCGAATTTTACTTTCTTGCATGGTCGCAATAATATCCTGCATATCGCCCATCTGATCGAGATCTGATTATTTATATGGTCAAGAAAGGATACATCCAGCATCCTTTGCTCTCTTCTTGTCACAACCAGCATTCGAGTTAAGAACAGCTAATCAAGTTTCTATTTTTAATTATATTATTAAAGAAACCTGTTGATAGTCTTTGGATGTGTGATGTAGTTGACGTCGGTGGTGACATAGCGTGGTCCATACGTGGTACTGCCCAGTGCTCGGCCAATATCATTGATGAACAGATGTGTTATCTCAACATACGGTGCACTCTCACTGCTACCATACTCCGAGCTGTACAGCAAGGTCTCGGCATCTTTATTGAGCACTCGAATTGCCAGTGGTATACGATCCACAATCTCGCAACGATCC